GGGGGGGGGGAAGAGCACTTGTGAGAAGAGCGGGCCGGTGACGTCACGGGTGTCCGCTGGAATTTTTGCGGCTGGCGAGCTGCCCAGCGGTCGCTTAGCCCCCTTCGCTTGCACAGGATCCACGCACTTAAAGCAATGCTCTCTTCACTTTTACGTTAAACTACTAAATGTGCGGGGAGACGGCGGATGCAGCCTGGTAGGCAGTTTTGCATAAATTCGTCAGCCTCGCAAAGACTGGCCGGCAGCTTTTCTGGGTCTCTTGCACAGAGCACCTCCTTCGCTGCAGCCGCAGGCGGGAAAATGCGCGCCGGGATGTCGCACGGTAGTTTCATTACCGAAAAAAGACTAGACTGTAAGCTGCCATCCAGCGGAGGGGCCGCCGTTCTTGAAAGCTGGCCTCCGCTAGGTGGGCTTAGGCAAAGTTCTCGCTTATTCCCACCTCCTTCTTCGGTATGAGGATACTAACAGTAACCAGCCTACCTTGCAGGGCTGTTGAAAAGATTACCGAGATTATGCAGAGGCACTGCGAAATGGGTTAAAAAGAGTGTCGCAAATTGCTGACCTCGGTGGTCAGCAGCGAAGAAACGACCATCCTAAGAGTTTCTTTCTTTCACGGTTTCTAAGATACAGATCAGCTCTCGGTTTTCTCCCCGCTGCCTCCATAAAGCTTAGTGGACGTCTATTAAAGTTATCTATCTACAGCCTGCACCCGCTTAAACACCGCTTTCCCAACCTAGATCGACGCACGAGAAAAAGACACCCGCCCAAGGAGCGCTCGCCGGGGTGGTCTTAAACGCAGTACAGTACTGTACCGCCTGCCATGCCGGCCGCTGCCGGTAGAGGTCAGCACTGAGCTAGGCCGCCCCGGCTAGACCTCCTTCCACTTGGCAACAGGCGACGCGATGGAAATACACTGTATATCCCAGAGCCGGGCTTCGAAAACCGAAGAAGAGGACTGCCCGGCTGTCGCCTCCGAAATAAATGAGTACAGTATTCAAACTTCCGCAGATGTAGAAGATATGGCTTGCAAGGGTGACTCCTTTCTTTAGCAAGCAGGTGGAGGACCGGGATGGGTGGGGGGCGGGTATAAGGACCCCAAACCGTCCTCAAGACGTGTGTTTTGGGGAGCAAAAAGAGATCCCCGCCGTTGATCCCCAGCCTTCTACAGGAACACGGTGCAGATAAAGTCCCGCTAGCCCGTGGTATCTATCCATGATCTGCCTACCCCGCCACTTGGCCAGTCTCATCCCGCCTCAGATCAGGAGGCGCCCCGGTCATTTTTGTAGGAAAAACTCCAGGGGGTTTCCTATTCCGTCTCTTTCCCCTCTCCCCCCACGGAACCTTGGGAAGTGTAGTCCGTGGGGGATGAAGGTTCAGAAACTTCTACGCAGAACTGCTCCCTGCCCCTCGAGCAGCAAGCTGCAATCTCCGGGGATCCTTTAGCCGAGACAGCGAAACTTGCTACAACGTATCTAAAAAGATCTGCCCCGTTTAGGGTTTTTTAAAAAAATAATCTTAGACATCAGGCACGAACCCCCTGACCCAATCGACTATGTGGGGGCTTCTCAAGAATTAAAGGGAGTTACTGGGAGGAAGAGAGAGAGAGAGAGAGAGCGGATTCATCAGGTTTGACGTCCCGCCTGCTATCAGGAAAATAATATTTCAGGGACGGAGAGCAAAACCTGACATGCTCTTCTGCACTTGGGACGGTGGCTGGCCGCTTCTTGCAAGCGATCAATCCGCCCCATTTCGGCGGCTCCGTCTCTTTTCTGAACCGCCTGGGCGGAGGGGCCCGTTTTCACGGCGCTCCGAGGGCAACCCCAAGCCTTTGGCCTCCCGTCACTTACCCTGAGTCAGCTCCTCTTTGGGGAACGCCGGGTGGATCTTGGGGGGGTAAAGAAGCACCTGCACGGAAGACATCCCGCCCCTCCTCGGCTCCCCCTTCTCCCAGGGGCAACGCCAGGAGTCCTGAAGGAAAGTCGCAGGAACTACAACTCCGGCTACCACCTGAATCCCAGGAAAGCCTCTCTCTCTCTCTCTCTCACGGGGTTGGGAAAGTGACACGGGGACGGGCCCCCCCGGACACCCGCGGCCACGCATGCCACGCCCACTTGCCTCCTGGGGGCGGGGCTCCGCTCTTCGGACACGGGCCCCGGGCTCCGCCCCCGCCCCGCCCTCTTCCCTTCTTGGCTCCCTTCCCGGAGCTGTCTATCTTTCGGTCGACCTCTTTGCTTTGCAACCTAAAACGGCGAAGCTCGGCGGCTGCTGTGAAGTCCCGGCCAGCCAGTGACCTCCCTGGAAGCGGATCCCTCCAGAAGCCGCAGCCAACGAGAGCGCCTTGCAAGCGCACAGAAAGAGCTATCTGACTGGACGGGACTTGGTGATGATTACTTAATGCAGATTAATGATCTCCCCTAAGGACACCCTGAAGTAGGGCCAAGCTGCAAAAGGAAGGCGGAGGGAAGAGGTTCCTGGCCTACCGCCCAACCATTTGCCGGCCCGAATATGGAATTATGGGAGTTGTAGTCTCGAAGAGATAAGTTTTTTCCAAGCTCTGAGCAAAGCGAACTGGACTCTGGGTTGTCATGTGCCATCAATTCGCTTCCGATTTATAGCAATCCTGTATAAATGATTATTTCTCCAAAGGCCTGTCCTCATCCCTGCTCCACTCTTGCAAACTCAAGCCTGCTGCTTCCTTTAAGAAGTCAACCCATCTCATATTTGATCTGCCTCTTTTCCTGCTGCCTTCAACATTTTCGCACATTACAGTCTTTTCCAGTAACACATGCCTGGAAAAGGCATGATGTGTCTAAGCATGAGAACCTCCGTTCAGAAATTTAGTTGGATTCTATTTAATTCAAAATCGGGACTGATTTGGATCACAGAGATATCATTAAGAAGTGAGCTTTACAATCCTGTTTAGAATTTTCTGCTCCCTGCCTCCAGCTCTGTAATATGCAGCCTGATGAAGAATTCTCCAAAGCTTGCTGTTTTGTTATATTGTGTGCTGTGAACTTGTTTCGGACATATGGCAGCCCTGCCAGGAGTTTTCAAGGTGTGCAAGATGTTCAAGGAGTAGTTCACTATCTATCGTTGCTCCCCATAAAAGCTTCTGTGGCTGAGTGGGAATTTGAACCCAAGTCTCCAGAGTTTTGGACCGACATTCTTATTCACTATGTCACAGTGACATAGCGAATAAGGCTTTTCAGTGTGTTACTGGATCAAATACAGCTGTTTCCAAATCATGATCAAATTTGTCAGCTTCCCTGACAGGTGCCTGCCTCTGAGCATCACCCCACAGTGGGGGGCAAAGAGGCTGCAGGAGCAGGTAGAGATCTCCACCCTTGCATGAACCAGAAAAACAAACCACAAACTGGCTTGTTTCCCAGGGATTTGTGGCGGTTCATGGTTAACCACGAACCACCAGTTTTCCATTTCTTGCCCATCTGTATTAGTTATTCATCATTAGATCATTTTCCAATAACAAAGATATTAGCATAGGCATCCTTCAGTCTCGAGAGACTATGGTAACATGCTCTGAATCGAGGAGTGTCCTCTCCAGAGCACGAAGCCCGGGTAAGGTAATATGGAGGATAGGCTGTTACCCAAGCAGCAGATCCCCCCTCTCCACATTGCTGAAATGATCCAGTGGAAAGGCAAGAGCCAATACAACTGGTTCCAGCGCTGTCGCAGGAGTTGGCAGAACGACACAAGCTGTCTTTGGGACTCCAGCTCCGGATTTTGCCTCTAGGTTAACTCCTGAACCCTTTTCCAT